TGGGTTGTAGTGGTGGGTTGTGGTGTTTGTGGTGGGTTGTGGTGGTAGTGGTGGTTAGTGGGGGTAGTGGGTTGTAGTGGTGGTTAGAAAACTGGATAGTGGGTGTAGGGGTGGTAGTGGTGTTGGTAGTGGTGGTAGTGGTTGGTAGTGGTGGTATAGTGGGGGTAGTGGTGGTAGTGGGTTGTAGTGGTGGTTGGAGGTGGTAGTGGTGGTAGTGGTGGTTGGGGTTTGTAGTGGTGGGTAGTGGGGGGTAGTGGTGGGCTGTGGTGGTATAGTAGTGGTAGGTAGTGGTGGTAGTGGGGTTTTTGTAGTGGTGGTAGTGGTTGTACTGTATGTATGTGGTGGTCAGTTTGGTGGTAGTGGGTGTAGTGGTGGTAGTGGTTGGTATCGGGGTGGTAGTGGGTGTAGTGGTGGTAGTGGGTGTTGTGTGGTTGTCGGTGGATGGTGGTAGTGGGTTTGTAGTGGGATGCGGGCGGTTGTGGGTGTTGTGGTGGTAGTGGCGGGTTGTGGTGGTAGTGGTGGTAGTGGGTGTTGTGGTGGGTGTGGGATGTAGTGGTGGTAGTGGTGGTATTGGTGGTTAGTGGGGGTGTAGTAGGTGGTGGTGGTGGTAGTGGTGGGTTTTATTGGTGGTTGTGGGTTGTAGTGTCTGGTTGTTGGGTGTTGTGGTGGTAGTGGTGGTAGTTGGTGTTGTGGTTTTGTAGTGGTGGTAGTGGTGGTAGTGGTGGTTTGTGGGTGCTAGTTGGGTGTTGTTGGTGGTAGTGGGTGGTAGTGGTGGTAGTGGTGGTAGTGGGTTTGTTGTGGTGGTAGGGGGTGGTAGTGGTGGTTGTGGGTGTTGTGGTGGTAGTGGGGTAGTGGTGGTAGTGGGGGTAGTGGTTGGTAGTGGGTATGTAGTGGGTGTAGTGGTGGTAGTGGTGGTAGTAGGTTGGTAGTGGTGGTTGTGGTGTTGTATTGGTGGTAGTGGTGGTTGTGGTGGTGGTGTGGTGGTAGTGGGATTGTAGTGGTGGGGTAGTGGTGGTTAGAGTGGTGGTAGTGGGGTGGAGTGTGTGGGTAATGGTGGTAGTGGGTTGTTTGTGGTGGTAGTTGGTGGTAGTGGTGGTAGTGTTGGGGTGGTGGTAGTGGGTTTGTGTAAGTGGGTGTAGAGGTGGTAATGGTGGTTGTGGTCGGTAGTGGTGGTAGGTGGTAGTGGTCGTAAGTGATGAGTAGTGGGTTGTTAGTGGGTGTAGTGGTGGTAGTGGTGGTAGTGGTGGGTAGTGGGTGTAGTGGGTGTAGTGGTTGGTAGTGGTGTTGGTAGTGTTGGTAGTTGTGGTAGTGGGGATAGTGGGTGTAGTGGTGGTAGTGGTGGTAAGTGGTGGTAGTGGATGGTAGTGGGTGCTATGTAGTTGGTTGGTAGTGGTGTGGGTTAGATTGGTGTGTTAATGGCGTTTAGGTGGTGGTAGTGGTGGTAGATGTGGTAGTTGGTGGTAAGTGGGTTGTAGTGTTTTAGTTTTGTTAGTGGTATTTATTGTTTGAGACTCTCACAATATTATTAATATTTGTGTAGTGGTGGTAGTGGCTGGTTAATGGTGGTAGTGGTGGGTAGTGGTGGTAGTGGGTTGGTAGTGGGTGTAGTGGGTGTTAGTGGTGGGTAGTGGTGGTAGTGGGTGTAGTGGGTGTAGTGGGTGTAGTGGTGGTTGTGGTGGTAGTGGTGGTAGTGGTGGTAGTGGTGGTAGTGGTGGTAGTGGGTGACTTGTAGTGGTGGTAGTGGGTTTTGTAGTGGTTGGTAGTGGTGGTATTGGATGGTAGTGGGTATTGTAGTGGTGGTAGTGGTGGTAGTGAGTGGTAGTGGTGGAGTGGTGTTAGTGGTGTTAGTGGTGGTAGGTGGTGGTAGTGGTGGTAGTGGTGTTAGTGGTGGTAGTGGTGGTAGTGGTGGTAGTGGGTGTAGTGGTGTAGTGGTTGGTAGTTGGTGGTAGTGGTGTTAGTGGTGTGGTAGTGGTGTGTTAGTGTTGGTAGTGGTGTAGGGTTGGTAGTGGTGGTAGTGGCTTGGTAGTGGTGTTAGTGGTGGTAGTGGTGGGTAGTGGTGTTAGTGGTGGTAGTGGGTTGTAGATGGTGGTAGTGGTGGTAGTGGTGGTAGTGGTGGTAGTGGTTGGTAGTGGTGGTAGTGGTGGTGTGGTGGTAGTGGGTGTAGTGGCGGTAGTGGCGGTAGTGGTGGTTTGTGGTGGTAGTGGTGGTAGTGGTGGTAGTGGTGGTAGTGGGTGTAGTGGTGGTAGTGGTCGTAGTACCGGTGGTAGTGGTGGTAGTGGGTGGTAGTGGTAGTAGTGGTGGTTGGTGGTGGGGTAGTGGTGGTATGGTGGTAGTGGTGGTAGTGGTCGTAGTGGTGGTAGTGGGTGTAGTGGTGGTAGTGGTGGTAGTGGTGTTAGTGGTTTAGTGGTGGTAGTGGGTTTTGTTAGTGGTGGTAGTGGTGGTTGCGTGGGTGTAGTGGTGGTTAGTGGTGGTAGTGGTGGTAGTGGGTGTAGTGGTGGTAGTGGTGGTAGTGGTGGTAGAAAACCTGGATTGGTAGTGGTGGTAGTGGTGGTTGTGGTGGTTTAGTGGTGGTAGTGGTGGTAGTAGGTGGTAGTGGTGTAGTGGTTGGTAGTGGTTGGTAGTGGTGGAGTGATGGTAGTGGTGGTAGTGGTCGGTAGTGATGGTAGTGGTGGTCAGTGGTGGTAGTGTGTTGTGGTGGTTGTCGGTGGTAGGGTGGTGTGGTGGTAGTGGGTGTGTTGTTAGTGGTGGTAGTGGGTGTATGTTGTAGTGGTGGTTTGTGGTGGTAGTGGTGGTTAGTGGGTGATTACAAAGTGGTGGTAGTGGTGGTAGTGGTGGTAGTGGTGGTTAGTGGTAGTTGTGGTGGTAGTGGTGGTAGTGGTGGTAGTTGGTGGTAGTGGTGGAGTGGTGGTAAGTGGTGGTAGTGGTGTGGTTAGGGGGGGGTGGTGGTTGTGGGTTTTGTAGTTGGTGGTAGTGGTGGTAGTGGTGGTAGTGGTGGTAGTGGTGGTAGTGGTGGTAGTGGTGGTAGTGGTGGTAGTGGTGGTAGTGGTGGTAGTGGTGGTAGTTGGGTGTAGTGGTGGTAGGTGGTGGTAGTGGTGGTAGTGGTGGCAGTGGTGGTAGTGGTGTGGTAGTGCTGGTAGTGGTGGTGTGGTGGCTGTGGTGGATAGTGGGTGTAGTGGTGGTAGTGGTGGTAGTGGTGGTAGTGGTGGTAGTGGTGGTAGTGGGTGTGGCAGATAAAAAACTAGTATTCAACACTTGTCAAGGTTACAACATCGTACAGTTTCTTAAGTAAACTTTGCCTTACACTCTCCTTAATGTAGACAAAGGACTCTTGAGCCAAAGATATGGAACTACCCTCACTTTCCTCAGATCAAACATGATTACCTCCCATTTTCAAAGTTCTGTATGACCCATACGGATACAGAGCTTCCCCATGTATATAACAACTAAATGAGCTTGAGCGTTATTCCAGAAAGATATCCCTGTATCCCGTAAGCCCAGCCTCTTCTATATCATTCATTCTAGAGAGGTATCCCCTAAGCCTTCTTCTAAGTAAGGTACAACAGTGTGGAAAGTTTGAAGCCTATCCAGAGAGGCTTTCTCAAGTTATCACAAGAAAAGCAATGAATAAAGGCTTTATGAAACTGGCAGAAGGGCACCTGCCCAGCCCAGTAGTTTCAGGAGCCTTTCTCTAGTTATAGTTTACCAGCTTGCAAAGTTTTAAACCGGTCGGATGAAGCATTCTCAAATTATATACAAAAATCTTCGGGAAGAATACACTGTGGAAGGTAGGTATAACATCTGTCAGGAACCAGGACAAGTGTTTCCTGAGGCGGGTCTTAGTTATATGATGACCTGCAGCTGGAGCTTCTGGTCATCTGACCGAGTCCTTTCGCTGGCTTACCCCTCGAAAAATTAAGGTTACGATGACTGTGACCACTGTAGCCGAGTGTATAAAAATATATTTACTAAACTTGTGTAAATTAAAAACGTCATAAGAGAGGAAAGTTATAATATTTCTCCCTTTGTTTACATTCTCACTAGAAAAATAGTATTTTTGAAGACACTGTCCCTTGCCTGTGTGTGAGACACCAGACTAAGACTGGTGAGGGACTCCCTGCCTGTGTGTGAGACACCAGACCTAGGAACTGGTAGGAGGGACTCCCTTGCCTGTGTGTGAGGACACCCAGACTAAGACAGGTGAGGGACTCCCTTGCCTGTGTGTGAGGCACCAGACTAAGACAGGTGTGGGGACTCCCTTGCCTGTGTGTGAGACACCGGACTAAGACCAGTGTGGGACTCCCTTGCGGGGACGTGTGTGAGACACCAGGACTAAGACAGGTGAGGGACTCCCCTTGCCTGTGTGTGAGGACACCATGACTAAGACAGGTGAGGGGACTCACTTGCCTGTGTTATGAGACACCAGACTAAGACAGGTGAGAGACTGCTTGCCTGTGTTGAGAGACACCAGACTAAGACAGGTGAGGACTCGCTTGCCTGATAACCCCAAAAAAGTCAGAGCGTGACTTATTTCCATTGGGAAACAACCCAGGGAAAAAAGGCAGATGCAATGATCAGAGGAATACTTGACAGGAAGGGAACCACGAGTCATGGTACGTGACGAGATATGAATTGGCACCTGTGACGAATGGGGTTCCACAAGGGTTAGTCCTAAGACTAGTGCTATTTCTGATTTATGTGAATGACATGGACGGCAGGGATGTTCAATGAGGTGGTCCGTGTTTGCAGACGATGTGAGGTATTGCGAAGAATTAATTAGAATGAGGATCAGGTAATAATACTAAGGGATTTGGACTGACTGCAACAAGTTCCTGGAGTTTAACCCTACCAAGTGTAAAGTCATGAAGATTGGGAAGGTTCAAAGAAGACCACAGATTGAGTACTGCTAGGGCGGCAAATTGTGCCAAACCTCACTCAAGGAAAAAGATTATTGGGGTGGTATAATACCAAAACACATTCTCCTAGAGGCGCCACATCAACCAAATAACTCGACACTTCATCACACTCTCAGTTTCGTGTTGACACTGAACTTCACCTTCATTTTCGTCTCATTCAGTGCTAGTGTTTTCCGTGTTTACTTTTTCTTTCAGTGTTTTCAGGTTGGTGTTCCTCCGGGACATGTTTCCTATCAGTGGTGTGAGTAAACAGAGGCCTGGGACGGGTAGACGGAGAGGCAAGTCTCGTAGCACCTGCTGCCGGTGTAACCTAGCTGTAAATAGATACCTTAGTGTTAGTCGAGCGTCGTTGGTCACATCCTTGGCAGGACCTTAAGATCTCAGTAAAAATAATTCACACTGTTTGACTTTCTGGAGTTATCTTGAGCTATTAACCCTCGGGGGTTGTTAATATAAACATGATCAACTTCTATTAGCGTAGGTTAGTTTTCTTAGTTCAGTCTCGCATTCCACACCGTTTTCTTCATTCATACAGAGAGAGAAGGCCGTCAGATAAGCCTGCGACACTAATCAATGCTAGCCTGCAGGTTGCAGCAGCGGGCGGCTACTGCACAGCACTCACACCAGACACTATCTTCTCTTCCTGTAAGTACGTGTCAGAGTCAATTAAACACTGGCGAACATGCTCACTTCTATACGTAATCGAGTAATATCTGAACACTTGTGAAATTCTCCTCCACTTGCAGATGTAGGTCACCGCACATAATATATTCACACTTTCCCAAGTTGTACATAGGGGCTAGTGTCACTTTGACGATGATAACTTACCTACGAGTCAATCATTTCACATATGTGAATAAATTATATCACTTTCGCAGTCCTACTTCGTGCAGACAACAACGTTCAAAGTTGTTTCTAAGTTATCTTCTAAGTAAAATTCTTTATCTTGAGTTGGAGAAAGGCGTATTATGTTCAGTGTGTTATGGGAGTGAGGGAGGGAGTGAGACATGTGAGAGAGGGAGTGAGACGTGAGGGAGGGAGTGAGACGTGTAAGAGAGGGAGTGAGAGAATGAGAGGGAGGCTGTGGTGGGGGTGACTGTTGTGGCCAGTTTATCTGCTGACTCCTTACCACCGCCCCAAGCTGTTGTTGCAATGGTGGTGGCGATGGTGGTAGTAGTATTAGTGTTGTTGGTGGTAATAGTGGTAGTGGTAATAGTGGTAGTTTTGATAATGTGGTAGTGGTATAGTGGTAGTGGGTAATAGTGGTAGTGGTAATGTGGTAGTGGTATAGTGGTAGTGGTAATAGTGGTAGAGGTGAATAGGTGGTAGTAGGGGTAGAGGTGGTAGTGGTGGTAGTGGTGGTAGTGGTGGTAGTGGTGGTAGTGGTGGTAGTGTGGTATGGTAGTAGTGGTGGTACGGGATTAGTGGTGTAGTGGTGGTAGTGTTGGTAGTGGTGGTAGTGATGGTAGTGGAGTGGTGGTAGTGTGGTAGATGTGTTAGTGGTGGTAGTGGTGGTAGTATGGTGGTAGGGTGGTAGTGGTGGTAGTGGTGGTAGTGGTGGTAGTGGTGGTAGTGGTGGTAGTGGTGTAGTGGTGGTAGTGGTGGTAGTGGTGGTAGGGTGGTAGTGGTGGTAAGGTGGTAGTGGTGGTAGTGGTGGTAGTGGATGGTGGTAGTGGTGGTAGTGGTGGTAGTGGTGGTAGTGGTGGTAATGGTGGTAGGGGGTAGGGGGGAGGTGGTAGGTGGGGGGTGGGGGTGGGGGGTTTTGGGGGGGGGGGTGTGTGGTTTTTTTGGTAGGGTGGTAGGGTAAATGGGGGTGTGGGGAGGGGTAGTGGGGGGTAGGTAAAAGGGGGTGGGGTTTGGGTGGTGGGGGGTAGGGGGGTTTGGGTAGTGGTGGTGTGGGGGGTATGGTGGTATGGTGGGGGGTTTGGGGGTGGGGGGGTGGTTGGTGGGGGGGGGTTTGTATTTGTGGTGTGGTGGTGGGGGTGGTGGATGGGGTAGGGGGTTTTGGGGGGGGAGGGGGAAAAGGGTAGGGGTGTGTGGTGGGGTTTGGGTGGGGGGGTGTGGGGAGGGGAGGGGGGAAAGGGGGAGTGGGTATGGGGGGAGTGGTGGTAGTGGGGGTAGGGGGGAGGTGGGGGGGAATTGTTTGGGGGGGGGTAGTGGGGGGGGGGGGGGATTTGGGGGGTGGAAAGGGTTTTTGGGGTTTGGGGGGTTTTGGGGTTGGGTGGGGGGGGGGGGTGGGTGTGGTGATGGGTGGTAGGGGGGTGGGGGGGGTTTATTGGAAAAGGGGAAAATTTATTGGGTAGGGTTGTATGGGAGTTTTTAGGTTTGGTATTTATTTATTTTTATTAGGGTTATTTATTTAGGGTGAATTTATTTTTATTGGGGGATTTTTTTTGGGGTTTTTTTAATTTTTTAATTTTAATTTTATTTTGGGGGGGGGGGGGTTTTTTGGGGTTATTGGGGGGTTTTTTTTAATTTTTTTTTTTATTTATTTTTAAAATTTATTGGGGTATTTTTATTTTTATTTTTTTTATTTTTTTTATTTTGGGTTTTTTTGGGGATTTATTTTATTTATTTTATTTATTTTATTTATTTTTTTTAAAATTTATTTTTTTTTAAATTTTTTGGGGTTTTTTTATTTTAAAATTTTTTTTTTTTTTTTAATTGGGGGGGGGAATTTTTTTTATTTAGTTTTTTTTAGTTTATTTTAAATTTATTTTATGGTTAAAATTTATTTTTATTTTTTTAAAAAGGGGAAAAAGGGGGGGGGTTTTTATTTTGGGGGAAAAAATTTTATTTTTTAATTTTTAAATTTTTATTTTTAGTTTTTATTTTTTAAATTTAAATTTTTTTTTTTTTTAAAAATTTTTTTTGTTATTTTTTAATTTTTTTTGGGGGGAAAATTTAATATTTTATTTTTATTTTTAAATTTATTTTTTGGGTTAAAAAATTTAAATTTTTATTTATTTTTTTATTTTTTTTCATTTGAAAAAAATTTTTTAATTTTAAAAATAATTTTTTTTTTTAAAAATTTTTTGGGGGGTTTTAAAATTTTAATTTTCTTTAAAATTAATTTTTAATAATTTTAAATTATTTAAACTTTGTTTTTTTTTTTAAAAAAATTAAAATTTTTTAACTATTTTAATAAAATATTTTTATTTTTATTTTTTTTTAAACTTTTTTTAAAATTTTTTAAAAATTTAAAATTTTTACAATTTTTTTTAAAAATTTTTTTCAATTTTTTTTTAAATAAAAAAAATTTTTAATTTTAAAAAAATTTTTTTATTTTATTTTTTTTATTTATTTTAAAAATATTTAAAAATTATTAACAAATGATTTTTTTTAACAATTTTTATTCTTTTTTTTATTTATAAAACTTTTTAAATAAAGGGGAAAATTTTTTTTTTTAAAAAATTTTTTTTTTTTAATTATTATTATATATTAAAAATTTTTTTTTTTTTTTATTTTTTAAAAATTTAAATTTTTAAATTTTTTTTAAATTTTATTTAAATTTAATTTTAATTTAAAAAATTTTTAAATTAAATTCTAAAAAAAATTTTAAATTTAAAATTTTTTTAAAAATTTCAAATTTTTAATTATTTTAAAATTTTACTTTTTTTTTTTTTTAAAAAAATTTTTACATAATTATTTTTATTTATACATTATACATGTTTACTATTATTACTATTATTCATATTCTTTTTTAATTTAATTTTTTTATTACAAATTTTTTTTAAACAATTTACTAAAAAAAAAAATTTTTTATTTTTTTTTTAAATTTTATTCATTTTTAAAAAAATTTTTTTTATACTTTTTAAAAATTTTATTTTATTTTATATTATTAAAATTATTATAAATTTTTTTACTTTTTTTTTATTCTTTTATTTTTTTTAATTTTTATATTTTAAATTTTTTTTTTATTAAATTTTTAATTTATAAATTTAAAAATTAAAATATTAAAATTTTTTTTTTTTATTTTTATAAAATTTTTTTAAAATTTTAATTTTTTTTAAAAATTTATTTTTAATTTTTTATTTTTTAATTTTTATTTATTTTTTTTATTTATTTCTTTTAATTTATATTATATAAATTTTTTATTTTTTAATAATTTTTTTATTTTTTTTTTTTAATTTTTTTAAAAAATTTTTAATTTTTTAAATTTTTTATTTTTAAAAAAATTTTTTTTATTTAAATTTTTAAAAATTTTTTCTTTTTTTATTTTATTAAAATATTTTAATTATTTATTTAATTAGAAAATTTTTAATTTTTTTTTTTAAATTTTTTTCATTAATTAAAATTTTTATTTTTTATTTTTCAAAAAACTAAAAACCCCATTTTTCCCCCCCCCTACCCCCAAAAACCCCCCCCCCCAAAAACCCCCAAACCAAAACCCCCCCCCCCCCCCTCCCAACCCCAACCCAGATTAAACCCCCCCTTTTCAAAGCTTACCCCAAGGCCCCCCTTAAAAAAACAAAAAATTTGACGTTATTCCAAAAAATTTTCCCGAACCCACCCCCTTTAACCAAAAAAACCCTTTTAAAAAAATTGGGGGACCATCCAAAAGGCTTTCCCAATTTAAAAAAAAAAAAATGAAAAAAGGGGCTTATGAAACTGCGAAGGGCACCTGCCCAGCCCAGTAGTTTCAGGAGCCTTTCTCTAGTTATAGTTTACCAGCTTGCAAAGTTTTAAACCGGTCGGATGAAGCATTCTCAAATTATATACAAAAACTTCGGGAAGAATCACTGTGGGGAAAGGGAGGTATAACATCGTCAGGGAAACCCGGGCAAGTGTTTCCCGAGGCGGTCTTAGTTATATGATGACCTCAGCTGGAGCTTCTGGGCACTGACCGAGTCCTTTCGCTGGCTTACCCCTCGAAAAATTAAGGTTACGATGACTGTGACCACTGTAGCCGAGTGTATAAAAATATATTTACTAAACTTGTGTAAATTAAAAACGTCATAAGAGAGGAAAGTTATAATATTTCTTCCTTTGTTTACATTCTCACTAGAAAAATAGTATTTTTGAAGACACTGTCCCTTGCCTGTGTGTGAGACACCAGACTAAGACTGGTGAGGGACTCCCTTGCCTGTGTGTGAGACACCAGACTAAGACTGGTGGGGGACTCCCCTTGCCTGTGGTGGACACCAACTAAGACAGGTGGGGGACTCCCCTTGCCTGTGGTGAGGCACCAACTAAGACAGGTGGGACTCCCTTGCCTGTGTGTGAGACACCAGACTAAGACAGGTGAGGGACTCCCTTGCCTGTGTGTGAGACACCAGACTAAGACAGGTGAGGGACTCCCTTGCCTGTGTGTGAGACACCAGACTAAGACAGGTGAGGGACTCACTTGCCTGTGTATGAGACACCAGACTAAGACAGGTGAGAGACTCGCTTGCCTGTGTGTGAGACACCAGACTAAGACAGGTGAGGGACTCGCTGCCTGTGTTGTGAGACACCAACTAAGACAGGTGGGGGATTTTTCCCTTGCCTGTGTGTGAACACCAACTAAGACAGGTGAGGGACTCGCTAGCCTGTGTGTGAGACACCAGACTAAGACATGTGAGGGACTCCCTTGCCTGTGTGTGAGACACCAGACTAAGACAGGTGAGGGACTCCCTTGCCTGTGTGTGAGACACCAGACTAAGACAGGTGAGGGTCTCGCTAGCCTGTGTGTGAGACACCAGACTAAGACAGGTGAGGGTCTCGCTAGCCTGTGTGTGAGACACCAGACTAAGACAGGTGAGGGACTCCCTTGCCTGTGTGTGAGACACCATACTAAGACAGGTGAGGGACTCGCTTGCCTGTGTTTTGAGACACCAAAACTAAGACAGGTGAGGGATTTCGCTTGCCTGTGTGAGACACCAGACTATGACAGGTGAGGGATTTCGCTTGCCTGTGTTTTGAGACACCAGACAAAAACGGGTGAGGGACTCGCTTGCCTGTGTGTGAGACACCAGAACTAAGACAGTGAGGGACTCGCTTGCCTGTGTGTGAGACACCAGACTAAGACAGGGAGGGACTCGCTTGCCTGTGTGGAGACACCAGACTAAGACTTTTGGGAGGGACTCGCTTGCCTGTGTGTGAGACACCAACTAAGACAGGTGGGACTC